AAAAAAGGACTTGCTTTTGAAGCTTGCAATCTGAGTGCCTTATAACTTTTTATTCCAGCTAAGTTTTCCATAGTCTCAGTGCATTGTGGGCTACCCCTGCCCTCTCTGGTGCATCGGAGCGACGATGCAGGTTCATAATCTTCTCAGTAACTAAGAATGTGGTGTTTTGATCGGCTGGGATATTATCCCTGCCTGGCTGTTCATTGTAAAGACTCCAGATGCGCACACTGTATATAATTAACAACAGAAGATATATCCTTTCTCCGCGCGTCTTTGTCTCCCTGCGTCATTTTGCCTTGTCTGCTTCCGTTTGCCAAAGAGCCCATGCTGCAATTAATGCCTTTAGAGGAACACAGCGAGTGGATTTTAGTTTAAAGGAACACGCAGGGGGGAGGGGGGAGAGGAGGGGGGAGTCTTCGCTAGAAACATCAAGCTTGCTGTGGGGGTAGAAGGGAGACAGACAGTGTGGCTCTCACTTGGGAGAAAAGGGATCATTTGCAAGACGTCTTCTTCCCAGGCCCAACCACCCCGCTTCCATGTACCCGTGAACAGTGGCCTGGCCGTCATTTGCAAAGCAGATGTACACCTGACCCTCTCTCTCTAAGGCAGTGGTTCTCAACCTTCCTCATGCCGCGACCCTTTCATACAGTTCCTCATGTTGTGGTGACCCCCAACCACAAAATTATTTTCGTTGCTACTGCATAACTGTCATGTTGCTGCTGTTATGAATCGTCATGTAAATATCTGATATGCAGGATGTATTTTCATTGTTACAGATTGAACATAATGAAAGCATAGTGATTCATCACAAAAACAATATGTAATTTTATATGTGTTTTCCGATGGTCTTAGGCGACCCCTGGGAAAGGGTCGTTCGCCCCCCAAAGGGGTCGCGACCCACAGGTTGAGAACCGCTGCTCTAAGGAAATGCCTGGAGGCTGGCATTGTGTCAGGTACAGGGCCATCCAGGAAGTCCCGCCTTTAGATGAACGTAAAGTAATCATCAATGAAATTAGAAAAACATCAAATCGCGTCTGTGTTAGGGATCATTAAACAGTTCAGTGTGCCCGGCCAGTGTGGCTCAGGGGTGAGCGCCAGGAGGACACATGCCTGGGTTACAGGCTCGATCCCCAGTAAGGGGCGTGCAGGAGGCAGCCAATCAAATGATTCTCTCTCATCATTGATGTTTCTCTCTCTCTCTCTCTCCCTCTCCCTTCCTTTCTCAAATCAATAAAAAGTAAAAACAAACAAAAAACAAAAACATACAATGCACCGTGACCTGGGCTGGCGAATAGGAGCCAGTCAAGGTACACACCTCAGGCGACAATTCACTCAGCGTCGCTGAAATTAACAAGACTTCCCGCTACGACCCTTGTTACACTAGCTCTCCGTGGCAGAACCTCAGAAGGCCACCTTAATTTTTCACCCTCTCAAACTCAGCGTGAAGGAGGGTTGGCATTTGCTGAAAAGAATATCATCGTTTCTGAGTAGTGGGTGCAGGCGTGGAGCAGCCTGGGAGCCAGAAGGGGGTCAGAGGAGCCCCCCTCTGGAGAGGAGTCCATGGACAGAGCCCCCTTCCAGTCGCCCTGGCCCCCGGCTGAAATGAGCGTGGACTCCGTTGCCTGGACCAGCCCACGCCCCCCGGGCTGCCGTCCATAAATTAAGTTAGCAAACCCCGGGAAGATAATTTTCCAATAATAACTCTTCACAGTTTCCTGCCGCCTCGAAGTACAATCAACATGTCGAGTTCTGTTCTGCAGGGAGAGAGGCAAAACCTGTGAAAATGAGTTGGAGGAGGCGGGGGGGGAGATAGATTTCTGCAGCTTCTTTTTAACAACACCAACCCCCCCTGCCCCCCCCCCCCATACACACACAACTCGGGCCTCGCACCTCCCACGGCTGCGCTGGGCCCGCGGCCCCCAAGCTGTGACTTGTTTGGGCTGATGAAGGTCTTTTCCCACCTGGGACACGTGTTTCCCTGGCAGAGGAGGCTGTGAATCAGTGTCGCCCCAAAACGCCAATGAGCTCCCCGGTGTCCGTGGGTGTCTCGGCCGCCCCGCTGCTGGGATCGTAATGGGATTTTCACAGCCGGGGAAGGCAGGGCCCCGCTCCCGCAGTCCCTCCTTCCTTCCTGCAAGAAAAGGCGTTTGTGAATGATTCCACATGACAGCGGCGTGGGCCTGGCTGGGGGTCCAGGAATTGTCTTCACACTAATTTCTTACTTGCGAACGCCCCTCCTCCCCCAGTCGGGCGAGTTGGAAAGATAGACAGACAGACAGACAGACAGACGACGAGATCTCCCTGTGTCTCTTCTATTTTTCAGGCATCAATAAATTTACTAAGAAGTTCCGAAATCCCTATGCCATCGACAATAACGAGCTACTAGATTTCCTCTCCAGGGTACCATCTGATGTTCAAAAGGTACGTAATGAACGAATGGGTCACCATCAATAGCCCCCCCCCCCCCCCCACGGGAGTCTGGCCCGCCCCAGAGCCCGAGGCTGTGCCAGTGTGTGAGTAATTGCGATAACGCTTCGGAAACATGCTTACAGAGGCCTGACTTGCAGGGAGGCGGCCAGGAAACCTTTGTCCCAAAAGCATGAGATGATTGGGGGAAATTATCCTGAAAAACAGCGACTTAAGAACGGTCTGGAACTCACGCTGCGCCGCTCGGATGCAGGGGTCTCGGTCCCTGTCGGGATCGCTCGCCGCCCCCAAAGAGGATGAGATGGGCTCAGTGCGTGGGGGAGTGGGAGGTCCGAAAAGGGGTGGCCGGCGTTTTATGGGGAGTAGGGGATAGGAGGATTATTCTCTTTATTCTTGTTGGCTCTGATGATCGCCTAGGCCCCCCTGGTATCTCGTCCCCTCTAAAGATTTAGGGCTGCTTAGGGCAAAAGCCCAGACTTACTCGAATGCACGTAGAGGCAGAGACGGCGTGAGATGATTTGAGATCAATCGGAAGTATTATCCACAGGGGATGGTCACTTAGTCCAGCAGTGTCCTGTTTCTGTGGAGACAGAGAGATTAGCTAAGGGAACAATACCAGCGAGTCCCCTCAAGTGGCCCCATCTGGGCCCCCACCGATCAGGCTGCTGTAAGCCCAGGGGGCAGGCAGCCGGCTCTGTAATGGAGAATTAGGGATCAGAGAACCGGTAGACGGGAGGCCGTGGCGTGAAACGGCATCACGGTGACCAAAGACACAGTGTGTTAGCCTCTGGGAGCAGGTATCGACTTTCGTCTTGGGGCCGCTGTGACATGATGGTGCTCGGAACGCTGGGTGGCTTCCAGGATGTAGGGCTGGAAAGCCCTAGCATTTATTTCCCCTTCATTCCAAATTCTAGAGATTAAAACAGACTCCGTGATGCTATATACCTTTAGCGTTCATTTTGATATAGTTCTCTATTAAAATGTATTCCACAGCCCAGCCGGGTGGGGCTCAGCCATTGAGTATCAACCACGGAACCGAAAGGTCACTGGTTCGATTCCCCGTCAGGGCACATGCCCAGGTTGTGGGTTCGATTCCCAGTCTGGGGCGAGCAGGAGGCAGTTGGTCAATGATTCTCTCATCATTGATGTTTCTATCTCTCTCTCCCCCTCTCTCTTCCTCTCTGAAATCAGTACAAATATATTTTTAAAAAATATATTCTACAAAATATGAATTTACTCGTTGACATTTGCATTGCACGATTATAAAATAGTCACCTGGGCCCTCACCGGTTTGGCTCAATGGATAGAGCATCGGCCTGCGGACTGAAAGGTCCTGGGTTCGATTCCGGTCAAGGGCATGTACCTTGGTTGCGGGCATATCCCCGGTGGGGGGTGTGCATAAGGCAGCTGATCGATGTCTCTCTCTCATCGATGTTTCTAACTCTCTATCCCTCTCCCTTCCTCTCTGTAAAAAATCAATAAAAAAATTTTTAAAAAAAAGTCACCTAGCCCTTGCTTGTTCTGCACTGAAGATCGACAGGTACGTCCCCCCCTGTCCCCCAGGGCACCTTCACAAAGCACTGTGAGGAAATCAAGCTTTACTGATAGTTCATGCATCTGCTCTTGACCTACTGTAGCTCAGCGTATGTGATGGGTCCTGCTGCCCTTGGAGAGTTGGGCACAAATGCTCCAGGCGGTGAGCACAGGTGGTCTGCCATGCAGTCCTTTACATAAAGCCATCCCGCCATCAGCCTGTGCAAGCTCACACACGAAAGCAATGGGGTTGCAACGAACGGGCACTTGAGTGGCACTGTGAGGGTTTGCCCGCATCCTTGGAGCATGCCAGTTGCCATTGAGCCTGGTCAGGGGTTGTCTGCGCACACAGCAGCCCTCGAGCGGTCATCCAGTTGGCGTCGGCAGGAACACACAGAAACACACAGAAACACACAGAAACACAACAAAAGAACGTCCCAGGAAGGTACCGTTCACCAGTGACATCCTCCGAGTATCGCCAAGAGCACTTTCTAATAACACAATAGACAGTTTGCCACTAAGGACTCCCCACAACCCCCCATTCATAGTTATCACAGATGTTTTAGCCATTCCATTGGAAATGAAATTCATTTTTTAAGAGAAATCTATAGAAGTCTGGGGCCAGTATCAGTTTCAACATTATTTCCCTCCCTGGCAAAATAAATGGTATATCATTTGGAGATATTTCTCCCCCCCGCACCCCAAGATTTTAGATCTTTTTAAATGAGTAACTTGTAGTAAGTATCATATACTAAGACAAACATTCCCAAGGGGCTGATACGAAGCTTGCCTATGGTGCAAAAGGGTCGCGCACACACACCACTGAAATCCCCCAGCAGTGCCCAGGGCAGGTAGAAGAACCCCATGCATCTCATTAGAAAAAAAAAGAAAAAATCTGCTTTTAATATTTTGGTTTCCAGAAATGATGCATGACTCCTCAAATCCTTCCTGTAATTAATCCCCCCATGTTCCTGTGTTTAGAAAATGATTCATTACCTTTGAACCTTCCTTCCTTTGCCTCGGCCTGTCCCCGGGGGAGCCATTAGCACACGGTGCGGGGAGCTAGGGTTACCGAACCGCCAGCGTCATGTCTGTTTGTTTTCACAGGTGCAGTACGCGGAGCTGAGGCCCTGCAGCAGCCAGAGCCCCCTTCGCAAGAAGCGCAGTGGGCTCTAGGACACGCGCTGCCTGTGGCCGCCAGCACCCCGCTCTGGGTTTGGGCGATGGGGCCCACGGTATGGCTCTCTCGGTGACACCGCGGTCAGTGCCGTTCAGACACGTGTCGTGTGGTGCCCTGTCTGTCGTCTCCCCCCTTCTTCAAGCGCACAGATGCACACACGCACACGGGGACGTGCACACGCGTGGATGTCCTAGCGGCACAGCGGGCCAGCCCAGCAGGAGGAGGCGATCCGGAGACTGAAAGACTCACATCCCTTCTCCTAGAGGAGAGAAAGCAAGCCTGCCGCGGGGCTGAACAGCCAGGAGACTCCTTGCATTAGAGAGGGACTTTGAACTTGTGCTCACACCTCCAGCGGCCGGTTCTCATGAGGATTCCCTCATTTTCACTCCCCACCCCCACGCTCCTTTCCGATGATGGTTCCTGTGAGTCCGTGGTTGTTGTTTTTCCCCCCTCTGAGCTAACAAGTCTTTGATAGAAGCCATCTACCCAAGGAACGCATCTTATCAACAGACTAGAGGCCCGATGCATGAAATCTGTGCAAGAGTAGGCCTTCCCAGCTGTGGCAGCTGCCTCGATCCCTCCCTCACAGCCGAGGCGGCTGCAGCCCCAGCTTGGTCCGGAAGGATGTCCAGTCTAATTAGCATATTATGCTTTTATTATTATAAATTATTATAGATTTTTCAGTAATGATCAGGATTAGCCCCGATCCTTGGGGAAGCGTTCAGCCGTGATTCCTGAAGATGTATATGCCAAATCTCAGTCAAGTCCTTGGCGCTGGGAGCCATCCTACATCAGGGCCTGTTGCTGGCAATGGGTGCCAGGAAGGTCGAAAGGGAACACTCGTCCCAAAAGTGAAGGGTTCCTGGAAGTATTCGGGTGTCTTAAAGCACCATTTCTTCCGATTGTACTTTGTGCTTATTTCCAAACTAAAATGTCCACGTGATGGCTTCAGGAAAGGGGAGGGAATGAATGAAGGAAGGAAAGGAATGAATGAACTCTGAGTACTTAGGTCAAGGCCCAGGAGCAAGGGATGAATACATGTGGGTGCATATGCGGTGGCCATCATCGATTCATTTGCTCACATTTTTGAGCAGAAAGAGAAGATATTTTAGCAGCCCCAGCTGATCATTTGTTCCTTGTAAGGGTACAATAAGTTACCCGAAATAAAAATACATCTCTCAGCCCTTTTCCTAGAAAAGTACCACTTCCTTCAAGAGTCCCCAATTCCTGCTGGCCCCAGCATTTCACAGTAACCTCCCCCCGTAAAAGTTCCAATTTTGTGCACATATATGATATGAAAATTTCTTCTCAAGCGACATGTAAGTTGTAAAGACTGTATTTTGTCCACACATACTTTGTATGTGCCGTTATATATATATGTATATGTAATATATATATTGTAAAGGAAATTTGAGGGGGAAAAAGATCTGATTTAATAGTGAGTTTTACTATGGTGTTCCCCCCCCCCCATCCTCCCTCTCTGGGTTGTAATTTAATAATCTTCAAACAAAATGTTTATGAAACATGCCAAAGATTCTAAACCTTATCATCCCCCGTGTCTGTTTTTCTTCGGATTATATCTTCCCGGGTTTGCTTTCGGCCGAGCCAGATTTCTGCATGATTTGATTTACTTCACGTTAATGACGCTGGCTGGAAAGGAGTCCTGCAGAAATTATAAAAGCTCCAGTAAATCTCTTAGTTGTACATACAATAGATACCCAAGAACCTCTTTTGTGAAACCAGTTATTCAGTCTTCTGTGTAAACAATGCCTCGTTGTCTCACTCCCAGCTATCATCTCGTTTGTCCCCGTCTATCATTTCGTAAGGGCCCCAGTCAGGCGTTTTTAAACAGACATGTGAGATCGGATCAGTCATTGGAAGGAAAACGTTCTTCGGCGGCAAAACAACCCCGTATTTATTTAAACGCGGAACCGATGCTTTATTGTTGTTCTCTTTCTATAGAATTTCAAAATGAAATAACACAGCCTGACCAGAAGGCATCATCAGCTAGACCTACTTCCTCTGCAGCCCCCCTCCCCCCACCCCCCCACTGGAATTCTCAACGTCAAGTTTAGGCCACCACCAGCCACTGGGACGCTGGGCCGAATCAATCCTTAATAAGCTGCCTGTGGAAAACAGTTGTTAATCGATTAAGAAGTAGACACTGGACCCAAAAGCAGAATGGGAGTTGTAAGTGCAATACGAAGGTTTCTGTAAGTCACCAGGAATTTGTATGGGGCTGGCCTATGAACCAGGAGGTCAGGGTTCAATTCCCTGTCAGGGCACCTGCCCAGGTTGCAAGCTCGATTCCCCTGTGTGGGGCGTGCAGGAGGCAGCCGATCCATGATTCTCTCTCATCATTGCTGTTTCTCTCTCTCTCTCCCTCTCCCACTCTTTGAAATCAATAAAAACAGGAAAGAGAGCCAATGAAAATAAACACTTAAAATTGTGTAAGAGCTGGGAGTAATTTTCCACAATAAACCAAGAGAGACGGGTCCCACGCCATCTTACTGTGTGTGAAATTCAGTTTAATCAATCGTCAGCTTTTAAAGATCTTTTTTTTTTTTTTATCAGTACTAACTGATCACCTACTACTAAGCATTAAAGAGGCTTCTACGCTGTCTTCACATGAGAAGAAAGGCATTTAAAACAGGAAGACAAATGGCTTCTTAGAAAGGGAAGGAGGTCCCAATGGCTCATGGGAACACAAATGACTTTTAGGGAAAGCAGGTGTGTCCTTAGACTAGAGAGAGGATGGTTGCGAGGCAATATCTCTTTAGGTGCAATGTTTTCTTGTTGTCTCAGGTGATGACAGTCTATCTTCCCAGGTTGCTGTTGGAGAGGGAATTTAAACAATTGAGTTCCTTTGGGAGGCTCTACTTTTATTCAGATAAAGGAATTCGGGGGGGGGGGGGGGGAGGGGATTCTGCTATCTGTTGATTCTCAAATGCTTTCGGCTCAAAATAATTTGATGCCACAGTGGCATATTCTGGACTCCTTCCATAAGCTATGCCTGCAGACACACATACATGTTTGTAAAATTACATAACATCTCTCAAAATTGGTCCACGGACTCCAACTCAAAACCTGTGGGTTCAGGCAAAACATTCAACGTTACCTCTTGCTGCATTTGAAACCTCAGGGTGAAGAGAGAATGTTTTTCGGAAGCCCAGTGTCAGTGGCCTGCTCCCTGCCAGAATTCACTCATTTATTATTTAATCCAGCTTTTCTCTGGGAAATATTTTATTAGGCCTGTCTTTCTAGCTGAGAAACCCTGAGATTTCACAATTTGCCCGTTCCTTTAATTCATTATGATAATTCATACAAGCCCCGCCTTTGCATGTATTTTCTTTACTAGATCAAAACAATGGTCAGGAAAGTAAAAACACATGAAATCATTTGTTGAACTGCATAACGGATAGCTCTAGCCTGACTGATTTTGTATGCACCCATCAGATTTTGATCTGGTAGTGGTAATTTTGACCAACTTAATGGTTAAGGCTTGCCTTGAATTTGTTTTTATTTTTTATATTTTTACTCCCAAAAGGCCTGCATAAGCCGAAGTGGTCCAGCCACACAAAAAAGGACAAGCAGAACTTTCTCTGACAGCAGATTGATTTCAGTGTTACCTAGCATAGGGCTCTGATTAGAGAAGAAAAGCCCCTTATTATATGAGAATAATGGTGTCTGTGCCATAGATAGGTAGATAATTTCACTTAAAATTACCTGAAATATTTGTGCTGTAGTATCTTCTCCTCCAAATCATTAATAAAGAGGCTAAAACCAGACAGCACATGACCTTGGTCCCATCTGCCCACTGACCAGACACCTGTCTTGAACTAGACCCAATAGTAGCTATCATTACCACCACCTTCAAAAATAGAAGTGGTTTGCAACCTACTCGTTTGGTTTTTCTCCAGCAAAGTTAACCTTGGAGCTTTGTGAGATCCCGCTGAATCTGGTACAAATTATATTTAAACAGCAAACAGATCTTATGGTTATTTCTAGAAAACCGCCCTCCACTCAACTGTTCTCAAGTATAAGCTTCATCATTTATAGTAGCATATCCCATATAATGCTATATAATAAAAGGCTAATATGCAAATTATCCCCTGACCGGGAGTTTGACCAGGGGGCGGGGCCGGCCGGCCAACCACCCTCAGCCCCTCCCCCTGGCAGGCCTGCAGGATCAGCCCCATTCGGGGTGGGCTGGCCAGCCCCCACCCATGCACAAATTCGTGCACCAGGCCTCTAGTTTGCTAGAGGCAATCATACCAGTAGGGACCATCTACTTATGGTCATTTATATTCAAGGCACTTTGGGAAATCATCATTTCAGTCCATTACAAAGATATTTTGCATAATGAACAGGGTCTGTTTGGGCCGAAGGTTTTGATCTGTGCTCCAATTCTTGATTTTTACATGAACCCCTTCAAAAGAGTCACGGTTTGGGAGGCCAGGGCGCGGGGGCAAATACTCTTGGGTCTGAGCAATTTTAGGACAACTGACTTTTAAATGATGAGACTTCCCCTCCCCCCTCCCCCCCTACGGTCCTTTTCCTTGCTTCCTATACATCAGTGGTTCTCAACCTTCCTAATGCCGCGACCCTTTAATACAGTTCCTCATGTTGTGGTGACCCCCAATTTCATTGTTACAAATGGAACATAATTAAAGCATAGTGATTAATCACAAAAACAATATGTAATTATAGATGTGTTTTCCGATTGTCTTAGGCAACCCCTGTGAAAAGGTCGTTCGGCCCCCAAAGGGGTCTCGACCCACAGGTTGAGAACCGCTGCTATACATGGTTACTTGGTCAAGCGGCCCATATCTACTGAGTATTCATCGTGGATGTTTTGTGAATGGTTTCCAAATGAAGTGCCTCATTCGTTTTAATAATTAATGCCCCCTTTTCTCCTAACCTTAGTTTTCAGCCTCGATTTGGGTTATTCATAGCCCTGAGGGAGTATGCAGGCATACAATTCACATGTGGTCCCAACACTTCCCAGTATGTTGCACACCTCGGAGTTTCCAACTTCTCTCCCAATATCCTGATCCTCTATCTCAGTGATGGCAAACCTATGACACACGTGTCAGAGGTGACACACGAACTCATTTTTTTGGTTGATTTTTCTTTGTTAAATGGCATTTAAATATATAAAACAAATATAAAAAATCTAAGTCTTTGTTTTACTATGGTTGCAAATATCGAAGAATTTCTATATGTGACACGGCACCAGAGTTAAGTTAGGGTTTTTCAAAATGCTGACACGCCGAGCTCAAAAGGTTCGCCATTGCTGCTCTATCTGCATTTTACCGACTTTCTCTCTCTGTTATAGCTGTCCGTTCTCTAATTCGAAAGCAACAAAAACGTTACAGGTCCTAAATAGGCCTCATTTAAAAGGGGAGACAGAAACCAGGGAGGACTGGTCGACCCCAAATTTGGACTATGCCGAAATAGAAGCCAGGTCTCCTTTCTCCGCCTGCTTGCCGTTCATTAGTGTTTGATTGTTGCTGGCTTGGAGTTGGCTGAGCTCAGTGACTTGGAGCCAGAAAGACCGGTTCAAGTTCAAGATTTGT